CATGCAGTAACAGCCCCACAGGGAACAGCCCGCCCCGGCTTGCGAGCTGAGAAAGCCCGGGAAGAGCCTCCCTTAATGCTGGTTGCCTCTTCCGACTGTTCCTGCACAGCTTTTCCTGCTGGCCAGCCTGCTTCCTGCTCAGGTTTATGTACAGTTGGGGTGTAACAGCCTCGCAAATGTTTTATCTCCCAAACGGTGGCCTAGGTTTAAATCCGGCACAGTCACGTGCTGCCTAAAGCACCGGCTGCGCTTATGGATCTGCGTGAGGAATAGCTGCTCGGCGCTGGTTYGCTGGGGCTGCTGGCGTGGCAGGATGTGCAGCTCCAAACGCCCCTTTGCTGCTGAGGCTGTTTCGTCAGGGTAATTAAATCTGGGTGTAGTTGCCACAACTGCCTATAAAAATACAGGAAAAGCATTGCTGCTGAGGTTTCTTTCATATTTTGATCACCAGGTGATAGTAAACACATAAGGGGCTGAGTAAATACAGAGATACTTCAATAGCTGCAAAAGGAGTAGTAGTTTTCTTTGCCTGGATAGCATTTATTTTCTTGTGATGGCTATTGAAGGCCTAACGTGAAGCCAAGTGGCTTTTCAGAGGCTGCAAGTTTTCTCTCAAGATATTTGGTATTTTAAAGTCATTTCTCTGTTGATGGAGCATGTTAAATCTGCCACTGCTTCACTGCCATGATGAAGCAAACAGGAGCCATCGCCAGGAGTGGGAGGGAATGTGGGCTGGTTTCCTCACACTTCTAAGTTTTTTTAAAAAAAAAGTCATCGTCTCTGGATAAAAATGGAATTGCTGCAAAAGCATGGGTGATATTTCCAAAATTATATTGCACAAAACGTTCAAAACCAGAAAAAGAAGCAAGTCTCCTAGAAGCTTAAATTTTAGTTTTTATGATAGGTGTTTTACATGGGTGCCTTTACTCATTAAAAGCCCACTAGAATAATTACTCTAAAAATATTAAAATGTAATTGCATTTAAAACAATGTATACATTAGAACAGAACTTTAGTTGCAAGTTGAACTTCAAATGTGATTTTTTTTTTTTTGCGAAGCAGCTGTAGAAAAGACTAAGGCTTCTCTTTATATGATGATAATGCTGTGGGGATATGGTTTGGAATTTATTTTTAATGATAGCCTTGCAAACTCCTTCCCAATATTTTTAGAACCTGACCTGGTGGTAAAACGACAGGAAGCTTTGGCAGCTGCTCGCCTCCGGATGCAAGAGGAGTTGAATGCACAAGCAGAGAAATACAAAGAAAAACAGAGACAGGTAACCAGGGAGCGGCTCTGTCTCTAACCCTCAAATTTGTCATCAGGCAATTTGCTGCCCGTGCAGGAGGGTTTGTCCTGTGCTACGTGTGGGAAGAACAGGAGACTGTCACTGGCGGATAGTGGATGGAGATTTTTTCCCCCCGCTTTGTCATCTGATCCATTTTTGATACAATTTGATAGCCGTTATTGGCGTTAGATGCCATGAGGGGCCTTTGCTGACCCAGCCATGTACTTGTGAAATTCTCTGTCAACTTGAAGTCCTGCTCTTTTTGGATTGGAATGATTTAGAAATCTGCTCCTTCTTTAAATAATTGATCTCTTTGGCAGTTGCTTCTCCACAAACGGTTGTGTATGTGAAGCACTGTGTCTCATTTTATTTTTTTTACAGACAACTGAGTCCTTTGGAAGATTTAGTTATATGTGCAGGCCAATCAATAGGGCATTGCTGGCATTTAGATTAACTGAACTATCACATACATGCATTTTCTGTTCCTAGGGGTGAATGCAAGTTCTCAGGAAATATAGCTCAGCGTGCTGTAATTTGATGTTCTGAAATGCTCATCTGTGATATGACACATATCATGCAGCTACGTGGGGCAGTGTAGAGAAGTGGATGTGATTGGGGTAGAGAAAATACTGCTTACTAACCCCAATTCTTTTATTTGATTTTTGCAGTCAGCTACATTCAGACTCTTTTTGGTCTGCAGATGGTTTGAAAAGAAAAAAAAAGAATGTTAGTTTGAGAAAAAAATGTTTCTATAATCTCAGAGATGCTTGTGTTTTGGGGGTCTGTTGTAGCTTTTTTTCTGTAGCATGAGCAAATCTGTCGGTTCTAAAATCTTAATCCTRCCTATTGTGGATTTGTTTCTTAGCTTGAAGAAGAGAAGCGAAGGCAGAAGATAGCAATGTGGGAAAGTATGCAAGAGGGGAAGAGCTATAAAGGAAACCTGAAGATAAATCAGGTAACAACTATGTTGTTAGCCAGGCTAGAAGGACACTTAGGTAATTCGTTTATCTGCAGTTCATGACACTTAAATTCTGACTATTTTTTGCTTATGTGAACAGCAAGAATTAGAATCTGGTGCTTCCACCTCATCGACTGTCCCGAAACCTAAAGCAAACAAAAAGCCTTTGCGAAGCGGTGGTAAGTGTGAAATCTTTGAGATAATATAAGCCTGGAAATGGAGCATTTATCCAGCAACATACATAGTCATTGTGTATTTACACATAGCTTTTCTGTTTATTCAAGGAGAAAACAGAATGTGCCTTATGAGCAAGCTCTTTATCTCTAGTGACGTGATTGTGTTTGTGCTTTTGTCCAGACCTCAGTAGGAAGTTTCTATGGTTGCCTCAGGGAAAGAAAAATTCACTTCTCTTAAAAATACTTCTGYGAAGATTTTGGCCAAGTCGCCTTTGCTGTACTTGCAAACCTTAATTTGAATACAATATTTTAACTGGAATTTTCCCTAGTGGAAGGGCTCATCTAGACAACCCCAGTTATACTGATCTAAAGGAAGACCCACTGCAAGCACTAATTGAATTACATATTTAGACTTGAGTAAATGTATAAAACCTCAAGATTCTTGATAAAACACATTAAACTTCAGTAACAGTTCTGGAAGTTCTGCTCTGGGTTTGTGTGTCAACTGGCACCTGTTGCTATCTGCAGGAACTGACTAGTTCCCGTTTTGTTTAACATGAGTGTGGTCTAAGGTCTGATACCATCAAATATCGCTCTTAGCTCTTGCACAAAATATCTGTGTGCTACAAGAAAAGAGGAATGGATAATAGCTGTGCTAAGAAATATAATTGTGGCACCTGGCTTGAGGCACCTCTACAGCTCCTACCTGTCCTAGTTTCTTTGTAAGCAAAATCTTTGCTTAAGGAACAGATTATGGAATTAGAGGTCCCAGATCTTCTCATGAGGTAGATGGGATGAAGCGAAAGAACCATCTGCACTGTTCAACTGCTTAATAAAGTTAGAAAGCAGAACTTGGTTAATAGGAGGGACCCAAATAAACAAAAAGGTAATGCTTGAGGTTTCCGTGGAGCATCCTGCTTTGAAAACTGCTTGGTTAGGAAGACAGGGGGGTTTTTGGAGTTGTTCTAGTGCTTTTACAATTTACAGAACAAACTGAAGACATTTGTCAAGTCATATCGTTCCAAATGCGTGCTCATAAAATGAAATTTCGTGTCGTTAAGATGGTGGGAGGCTTAACTGAAACTGTCTGTTTGCCTTGCTGCCTTAACTTGCCCTTTCAAACTCATAAATAAAGTTCTCTTATGGTATAAATGAGAGGATTCATCTTTTAGTCTTCAGGATAATCTTCGCATATTGATGATTTGCTGCAATAAAAATATTGCAAGGTAGGGCTCTTGGCAAACAAATAGACTCGTACTGCTCTACCACAATCCAGAGCCATGTTGAAGCTCCAATGCGGACTAAGAAAAATTAAACCACAATTAGCTTTAATTTAATCAGGATGGCTCAAATGAAAACATGGAGTTTTTGCTTTGCTTTGTTTTTTTTTTTTTTTTAGTGTTCGTTATGTGTTATTGAACTTGTGTTGAGGTTAAATATTAATGGGCTGGATTTGTCACCTGTAATTCCAGGCTACAACCCTCTGTCTGGAGAAGGAGGTGGAACGTGCTCCTGGAGGCCAGGTCGCAGAGGCCCGTCGGCAGGTGGATGAGGCTAACGCCCCTCGTGTCCCATGTCTTGCCCACTGTCTAACTGCCTAAAGTTTGCCTGTCACAGGGACTCCTTTGGGATTGGGTTTAGTGCAGGTGCTCGCTTGAAAACAGATGTCTGCGGGTTCCAAATATTTAACACAGAAACTGCTGCTACACAAGATAAAATAGTTGATCCTCTTAAAGAGGGTGAAGAAAGAAACAATGTTGGTATAAACAGTTAATTTTCACCCTTCTGTAGGGCGGAAACGTAGTCACTAGCTGAGGTGCAGCCCGGGGGATGTGAGATCTGGGTTCTGTGGGTATTCAAAAGACCGAGCACAGGCAAGTTAACTATCTGTGTCTCTGTTTACCTCTGCAAAATGAGGGTATTTACCACTCCAAAGCATGTGCTACAAGGTTTACAGTGTTTGGCTGGAAGGATAGGTAGAACGGAAGGGTATTARCACAGACAGCTTGAATTTTCCAAGAGGGACTTTCAGAAAACCCAGATGAACTGACAGATGCYGTGGGTTTGCACTGAGGGCCGCGTGTAGCAGGAGAGTCTCTGTGACAAGCTACCTTGAATGATGTTTTCCTTATAAATGGTGAACAAACCAGTGAGGATTACTGATGCTAGACAGCAGATGGGGGTTTCTTGCTATTTCTTTTTTATTTTCAACTGCTTTGTAAAGATAAAATATTATTAATATTAAATATCATTGCAAAGAAATCATATAGTATTTACAACCTTGTGGTTTTCTACAGCATCTTTTTATATAGAAGGTTACATTCTAGTGCAATAAATGTATAAAATGAGATGCGTCATATGAGAGATTACATTTTCATTTATGTGCTTGTATGGAATGAAGGAGGGTTTTCTAAGTTGTTTTAGATTTTTAACAGTTATGTTTTATCTGAGTATTCTTTGTTCCAAGTCACGATTGGAAGAGAGTCCCCTTCAGGTTAAGACCAAAATAACTTTTCCCAGGTCCGAAAATTGAACCTGAGCGTTCTTTGCCCRCTTCCTTCCCCCTCCACCAAAAATGATTCTGAAATGGGGCAGAATGAATTGCTAATTACCAAGCACTCCCAATTATACTTGTAGCTTGGGGAGCTGTCACCCTGCCACCAGCTCAAGCAGCACCAGCCTKGAGGACTCTTTCTATAGTTAACAAATGTTGAAATTTGTAGGTGGGAGACTTTGGAGAGCTTTAGTAGCTGAAGGGAGCGTTGTCTTCGTTTTTCTGGTGTTTGTCCAGCAACGTGGACAGAAAACAGAGCTGGAGATGGTTGTCATAAAGGAGCTTCCCAGACACCCTGTTCTCTCAGAACGCTGTTTGGCACAGCGTGTAGATGACTAAACAAACGTTGAGGCTGYCCTTGATAAGGGTGAACTCGTTCCTGTCAGCAGATGACACATATCCTTGACACACTGCGTCTTTGATTACTTTTACTGAGCTGTGTATGTGGCCTAAAAATATGTCAGTAATTTATTAGCATAGCTTAAGGCTGCCTGCAGSCCTGTTTCTAGATAGTTATGCTTGAAATATTTGTGTTTGTTAATATGTTTCAGTGCCAACTTCGAAAATGATGTTTATACATCTATAGAGACTTCACTGTTACGTGATCTGTGACTTTTCTATGACTCTAAATGTAACAGTAGCATGTTACTTAATAAGTTAAAAAGTTGCCAGCCAACAAGATAGAAAAGCAAAGAACCTTTGACTTTAGATGTCTTAAATGTGTGTTTAAATGCATATAGAAGACGAAGTGAGAGGGCTGTTAATGTTCCTATGGAAACTAGTTTTCATTTCTTGACTTCGGTGTGTTTTGATATGTAAACTTACATTTCCATTGTTGGATTGACTGTGTAATGTGGACTGCAATATGTAACTTCAGGTTTTAATTTATAATAGAGCAAAAAAAATAGAGGATGGGGAAAGATTTTCAACTTTGAGGGTTCTTCATCCATGAAGAGCTGTAAGTTGTTATCTCACACATGCCTCTGGGAAACATTTTTTCCTTGCATTGAGGAAATAGGCAACACAACAAGGTGTTGTCTTCAGAAAAATAATGGGAGGAGGCTGTTATATTAAAGATCCAAAACTCCTGTAGATAAAATGGTGAAGATGGGTTAATTTAATTCCATAAAATCATTTTAAAATAAATTAGCAGGTCGGAACTAAGCATATGCTAATCTTTCTGTGTGTCTCAAGAGTTGCTTCTGCCTGGGGCTGCGTGGATTTTTGCCCAGCTGAGATCTCAAGACCTGGCCAGTGGGATGAAGTAATTCACATGTTTGCTTGAAACTTCAAGCATCCTTCTCCTTTATTAATAACACCACCACTGTTAATCCTTGAGCACCTAAATCCTGTCAGATACTGGGTTTTTTTTTTTTCAGATATTCTAATATTGAGCAGGGTGGAAGAATCTGGCTTTTGACTTCAAGAAGAACCCAACCAAGCGTGGAAAGGTTGTTGCTTTACAGCATAGGGGGAAAGTAGCCACGATGCAGTAGRTGAAAATGAGCTAATGAAGCTGCTGTTCGTGCACAAATTCCCAARAACTTGAAGTGCAACAAATTTAATTATAAAACCTTCACTTTATTATTTGTTTACAGCAATTATGCAGGAAGCTTCTARATTTACTGGTGTAGATGTGCTAGAAGCACCGCTACGTGGAAGAATACAGGTAATAATCCTTATAGTTAACACAAYGCTGCTAGACTAGGAAGTATTGTGGTACTGAATATGTTACTCACCTGAAAAAATGTAGCTCGCTCTTTTTCTGTGTCTTTCAGGCGACCTATATGTTGGAGAAAGAGTTTTTTCACTTTCTAAATTGAATACACAGTCCAGTTTATGCATAGCTCTATTAAAAATTCACCAGGAGATGCCCCAATGCTGGAATTAAAAATGAACAGAAAACATACTGCCACTTGTGAGATTTGTTTGGCTTTATCTGTGCCATTCAGAAAGGGAGTGTCATGAGGAAAGGCTTTTCAGAGGGATGGCTTTGCATATTTAGTTATCTTTAAAAAAATGTTTCTGATGCTGGAGGTTTTAGTAGTGAACAACACAGGATGGACTTGGGGGAGTGAGGGCCAAGGGGGACTCTATTAGCAAACTGTTGCCAGCCTAGAATTACCTGTGTGTTATTCAGAGTTTATGTAAATGAAAATACAGATTTTTTTGCACTATTCTACAAGGAGCTGCTTTCCTATGCAGGTGAAAAGACAGTGCTAGTAAATACCTTATRCTATTTTGATGCTAAATCTCTTAAGGGATTGAAGGGTTTAAGGGCAAATTTAAGGAATTTAAGGGCTATTTCTGCTTTCCACCATCCCCGTCTCCGGCAGCTGCGTCTTTCCGGGCTTGGCTGCACATCAGCACACATCTCTGCAGCGGATCAGATCCACCCTTTCGAAAATTATTGGCCTTGTCCAGGCTAAAAAGTGGCACCTTCTCAGTGATCGGTTTAGCCTGGAGAGCTGGGCACAGTGTCTCTGTGCTACTGAGCTCCACTCTGCTGTCACTGAGTGCTCAAGTTGTATCATTACCAACTGTAAAAGGGAAAAAAAAAATCCAAAAAGGGCTTGACTTGGATAGGCTGAAGACTTCGGAGGTTTTCTTTCCTTTTTGGAATGCAAGCTTCATTTCTGGAGCAGCGCTGCAACCGCAAAGGAAAAGGCGAGCGCTGCTGGCCGGGTGGCGTCCCGGCCGCGCYGACTTGGCCGGAGCTCCCAGGCCAGCTGCTCCAAGGCCGACACGGGCCCTGCCCGGTTCCCAGCGCCAGCAGCTCTCCAGAAACCGTCGGGGCTTTTAGGAGGCAACCAAAAGCTGAACAGAATAGGTCTCCTCGGTGCAGTGTTGGTGGTGACCCGTGTGGGAATAGGCATTATTGCAGGTTTCGGTTGGGATGGGCTAGCAGGTTGGCAGTGTCTGGTCTCGTGCATCTTTTCTGTTATCATTTCTGTTCTGGAGTGTGTGTCTGCCAAAAGGTGCTTCCGGTACAGAGCGAGATCTCCATTGATAATCTCATGATTTCATTCCTTCTGCTAACGGAGATACTTTGTGTGCTGCTTTCCAAGCTCAGCTTAAATCCTRTGCGGTGGCTAACAGTGACGTAGGGATGGCAAGAATTTAATTCCCTCTAAAGGGAATRGAAGGCAAACACTGCGCTGCAATTCATGGCTTTTCAGTCCAGTTGTAGTGCTCTGTTGCATGCGCTGAGCCTTAGGGCTATGGTCACGCTGGCCTCCAGGAAGCACCTTCAAAGCTAAAYGAACCCACAAATTGCCTTTCAAACGCTTCTTGTTCCTCTACTGAGGGGGACGCGTGCCCCTAAAAACCCAACTTGGCGCTATAGGTAGGTGCTGCTTTGGGCAGTCTGCTTCCTGGATCTATCCAGCAAAATCCAGCTTGCTTTTGCAATGCCTGTTCTGKACCTTTTCAACAGTTCCTTGACTCCTCTGGGAGGAATTAAACCACATGAACAACCCCCTTTGTCAATCGGAGCCCTTTGATGCAGCACACGCTGAAGAGCAGCTTCCATGGCCCAGGACCTGGGCGCCCGGGCAYGTTCCCGAGGGCTACAAGAGGCTGTTTCTCTTCCCGTCCCGCAGGTCCATGAAGCCAGCAAGTCGCCCAGCTGTGAGCAGCCAGATGTGACAAGGGTGGCAGCTGCCCCGCGCGGCCGGCGGGCACCGGCGCCGCCGCTGCGCTGCGGTGCAGGGCCAGGGGATGGCAATGTTGTTCCAGCAAGCAGGCAGCGGGCGCCTTCTTCTTTATTGATTTCATTTTTTTTTGTTCTCTTGAACGGGTTCTCTCCTGAGTGATTCAACGGAAGGGAAAAGTTGGGATTGGGCAGTGTCAGGACCAGGAAAGGGTAGGGAAGAAAAAAAGTGGGTGCTGGAACTGCGGAGGGAGTTTCTGCATCATTCAGGAAAACACAGCGGTGCTGGAAATACTGCGACAGAGACAARTGCTGCTAGTTGCCCAGCTAGATTTTTTCCACCATGAGTCTGTTACCTTGAATTTAAGGACTATGCTCATTTTCCAGTGTCTGGGTAGCTTTTAAAGTATTGGTTTGAGTACTGAGCTTTAATAATTAAGTTTTATGGAGCACTGGTTTGTTATTACAAAATATACCATAGTACAGAATACATCACAGAAAAGGATCTTCCTGTGTTAGCGTGCTCATCACTGCGGGTATCCTGGAGATCAAACCTGACGAGGAAATAAGTGGGTATAAAACGACCTAACGTCTCTTGCGGCTTGGTTATTATCCTACTTTATTCCCGAAGGATGATATCTCCCCTGTAGCGATACAAAATACAGAAATAGTTGACTGCTTTGGGTGCTTGGCTTTTTCCTCATTTAAAAACAGGATTTCTGTTTTGCTGGTCTGATTATGGGGTCTGGAGGGCCCTTGGAGCGGAGCCTCTGCACGGGTCTCCTCGGAGCGGGATGCGAGCAGCGGGACGGCAAACGCAGTGCGCCCCCTTCACGGCCTTGAGAGCCCGCTCTGTATTTTCTCAAGCAAATTGCTTTTTCTCCACAAACTCTGCACGGAGAATAGAAAATATGCTGCATAAAAATACAGGTATTTGACCTTGTACACAGTGAGAAGATTAGTATGCATTTTAATATATAGGGTCCATGAATGCTGAGGGTGCATCCGCTCCTCTCCCTGCCTGCTGCCCTACCTGCCCTAGCCGGGAGCGGAGGGAAAGGTCGCTGCCTCTCCTCGGGCCTCGCTTTTGCTCTGCTGGTTTCTCCACTCCATCGTTTCCATGGGCGCTGAAGTCACGTACAGTTTTGGTTTTGATGACTAACCTTTTTTCTGCATGGGAAGAAGCCAGTTGACAGCTCTGCAGGCCCAGCTCTTCTTTTTTATTGCYGTTTAACCACACTGGCTCTGCCTTTTCCTGTAAGGAGATTCCTGCAATTCATAGGCAACAGTGTCTTTCCCTTGAATCAGGAGWTTTTTACTGCTGATTTGGAGCGTGCTGAGAGTAATCCCGTTCCTGCTAAGAGCCTTGCCACATCTCCCACTTTTGGAAGGGAGTGGCCTTGCTTTTTACTTAAGTTTGACTGACCATTAGTGTCTTGCATTTCAGAGCAAATGATCCTGATTGAGGAGAAGTGGGGAGAGGGAAAGCACAGGCAGGGATTAATGAAYGCCTTTTTAAAGAAATTTTTGGTCACCAAATAAAAGATCCCTGCATCTGGACTGGCACAACCAACACCAGCTTTTGCAGAAAGGCTCTGGGGGAAAAAAATATAATAAATAACAGTAAACCACTGCAAATCCTGTGAAATAAAAGGAAGCGCCTGTCCCGGAGAGGGACGGGGCGGGGGCCTTGCAGGGACGGAGAAGCCTTCACCCCACCCTGACCAGCGGTGCCTTCTAGCTCCCCTCTCTCCTCTTACCACCCACAAAAATACAGCTCCCCTGAAAAGAAACCAGCTCCTTTCCTGCTGTTTATTTGCTCCTTTTTTCCCCTCTATGATTTCTTTCTCTTTTTTTTATCATTAGAATGGCCATATCTTGGTTTCTTCTGGTATGTTGCTTGTGTTGCTCACCGCTCCRGACATCAAAGGAGCTCGGTGGTGGTGACCTCTGAATTGCCCTATCTCRGGAGCAATGACACCATAAAAGAGCATTTTCTCCAGAGACATCATCTAGCTCTTGAGATAACCGGATTGTGTTATTACCTGCTATTTCCTGGTAATACGACAGTTACTTATTACACAAGGGTTGTTAAAATCCATCATCTGCACTTGACGTTGTGCTGTTAATGCTTGGTACAATGTCCTCTTTCGCAATGGTCTGGTTCTGGCTTGAGCATGGGCTGCCCTAAGCTGAGACTCTCCTCTGAGCTGGGTGGGCGGCACCACGATAGAAATAAATTAAAAACAAAACAAAAACAAGGGAAAGTGTCAATTAGAGATGCTMAACTGCATAGGAAATAGGAGAAGCCACATGTTCATGGTCAATGGGTT